TTTTTTTCCCCACTGTATATATATTGAACCTGATAAATTCAGTCAACAATTCAATTTGTGTAACAATTCAATAACAACATTTCATCTAACATATAAAAAAAGCTTTCAGTTATCAAAAGAAAGAAGATGAAATTTGTGTTTTTATTGCTTTAAAAAAATAATAAATAACAGGACACCAGTTTGTACCCTGCATCAAACATACCTCAAGGATAAAGTTCTCAAAATCTCTCTCTCCAATGAAACAGATCCCCATGCTCTTTCAGAGAAAACAAAAAATTGCATTTACATTATATTTAGTCATTGAGCAGACACTTCTGTATCAATTAATCAGATTACATTTAAAATACTGAGCACTACTAAGTGTCACATTTCTTGTGCCCGAAATCTTGGGTCTTGTATAAAAGACTTCATTTAGTACCTCTTTTTTCTTTAGAACATGCTGGAAGCCAGCTTCAGCAGCTATTTTCTTCACAAAGTCTTTGGTTAGCCCAGCTAGGGGAAATATTGTGTGTCGCAGAGCATCCTGGGAAATCTGACTGAGAAAGAATGTCTGGTCCTTCAAGCGATCAGCACCCTGATAGAGCCGCACAGCTAATGAAATTCAGAAGAAGAGAAAAGCTCAATGTACAAACAAATCCCAGATATTTTAAATCTCTTAAATCTCACAAAAACTGCCAAGAAAGGTCCATGTCCATATTTCAACCCAAAAATCAAAACAATGAATATAACACATTTTGCATGAAGAAAAACTTATTTTTACTCTTTTTGTTTGTTTTTCATTGTGATTTTATTTTCCCATTCTACACAAGTATAGAATTTAAAGTATACATCATGGTGGTATTTGTTTGTAATTTTAATTCAATTCAACTTTGAATTAAAAGAAAAGAAATGAATGATAAAATAAAATATACAACTTGTGTCTTCATGATTTCCATTACTTATTCAGCAAAATATATATATAATGCTATAAACACAATTGATTTTCCTGTCCTCTACATTGCATGGACAGATGTTATACGTACGCTTTCTCATTTCAAACCGATCTCTGAAGAGGGTTCTGGGAGGTGGAACGTACTTCTGTTGAAAAACCTCCTCGTCCTCCTGGGACGTCCGGGCATAGTGTCCCGTTGCCATGGCATCAGCACCTGTTTTCAAATAAGACTGTGATGATGCTAAATATGCAAGACACCACATATAAACATTTATAAAAAAAATAATAATTCTTGACAGTTTTTGTAAGATTTAAGAGATTTAAAATGATGTGTTCTTAATTTGTTTTGATGTCAGTTGTATCTGTGGTTTGTTTCTAAGTTGATCTTTACTCTACTTCTGAATCTTATAACTTTTTTCTGCTCATATCTTAAATAAGCCCTTAAAGGGATAGTTCATCCAAAAATGAAAATGTGATGTTTATCTGCTTACCCCCAGGGCATCCAAGATGTAGGTGACTTTGTTTCTTCAGTAGAACACAAATTATGATTTTTAAGTCCAACCATTGCAGTCTATCAGTCGTATAATGCATGGCAATGGTAACAAAATCTATGAGAGTAAAAAAAAACATGCACAGACAAATCCAAACTAAACCCTGCGGCTTGTGACGACACATTGATGTCCTAAGACACGAAACGATCGGTTTGTGTCAGAAACCGAACAGTATTTATATTATTTTTGACCTCTGATTCACCGCAATGTCCAAATTCCTTGAGCACGCGTACGGCATCCGGTGCGTGAGGTGTGTACGCGCTCTGGCGTAGTTTACGTTAATGGGTGTGTTGATATCCAGCCGAAGAGCAATCAACCATAACTTCAGGCGAGCAGGCTCAGAAGTTGGGAATACGTGGAAAGTCACCACTCCCGAATGAGTTTGCGCGAGAGAACGTAATCTTTTAGTTTTAAGTCGGTTTGAACAATCCGGATAAGCACAGGTAAGTACCATTTTCATTAGCCGTCGTACCTACAATGACTGTGCACTGTGTAACCAATGAATGACGTATACGCGCGAGAGATCACTTCCGGCGCTTGTGTAAACTACGCCAGAGCGCGTACACACCTCACGCACCGGATGCCGTGCGCAAAGACAGTTGGACATAGTGGTGTATTAGAGGTAAAAAATTATATAAATACTGTTCGGTTTCTCGCACAAACCGATCGTTTCGTGTCTTAGGACATCAATGTGTCGTCACGAGCCGCAGGGTTTAATTTGGATTTGTCTGTGCATGTTTTTTTTACACTCATAGATTTTGTTACCATTGCCATGCATTATACGACTGATAGACTGCAACGGTTGGACTTAAAAATCATCATATGTGTTCTACTGAAGAAACAAATCTTGGATGCCCTGGTGTTAAGCAGATAAACATAACATTTTCATTTTTGGGTGAACTATCCCTTTAAGAGATATTCCGAAGTAAAACCATCGTCTAGTTGCATTAAAAATCTACACAATAACAAAAGCACACAAATAAGAGCTTTAAACTGTATTCATTTAAATAGAGTTATAAAATCATAGCTCATGCCATATTTCGTTTTAACCTGGACAAATAACATTTCCAGCATTTTAAGTTGTGGACCCCTTAAACTCAATTAACACTAGGGTTGCAAAAAGGTGGACAATTTCCAGTAAATTTCAGAAATCCCGGAAACTTTCCAGGATTTTTGGGAATATTATGGAAAGTTTTCCGAAAATTTACCAGAAACGTTCCACCCTTCTGCAACCCTAATTAACACTATAACAAATAGGAACATTTCTGCACCTCCTTTCACTTATCCTTTGTTTAAAAAAAACAAAGTATCAGTCAAGTCCTATTTTGCATGTCTTTTTCCTGGAAAACACTACAAGTTCATCAATCCCACTTAACTTACCTAAAGTATTAACTGCATACTGATAGAAGTGCTTAAACTTGATGTGTTTGTTACACATTATGTCTGGATTTGGTGTTCTGCCCTTCTCATATTCCCTAAGAAGATTGCTGCGAAAGAAAGAAAGAAAGAATATGAGCAAACGGTGTACAGCCTTTTAAATTCAATGATCTTTCAAATATGAACTACTGTGATATTTACCTAAATACTTCATGCCAGTATTCTTTAACATATGAGACCTGGTGGAAAGGCATATCCAGCATCTTACACACTTTATAAGCATCTTCACAGTCTCTCTCTGATGAACAGACCCCTCTCTCATCCTGAGAGTCCCAGTTCTTCATGAACACACCAGTCACACGATAGCCTGAAAGCAGAGAAACACACAGCATTTCTTCAAGCAAATGATGCTAGTTTGAAACACCAGAAAGTGTCTTCTTGTCTGCAACTCGGCATATTTCACTTTATATGCATCGTTGTACCATTTTTACACATAACAGACGGATTTTCTGGAAAGTTTTTCTTTAAAATGTTTGTTAAAATGCTGCTTTCTGCAATAGTTTGCATCAAATTCAAATGAAAACATTCAAACAAAAAGTTGACTTGACATTCATACATAGGTCACAGTGATTTAAGTTTCCAAATACTTTATTGTTGTTACAATACAATCTAGAAAAGAGTATAATAAGCACATTATAGTATTTAACAAACAACTTGTACATTACATTAGGCTATAATTATTTATATATATATTATAGAATTATAGCATGTTATTTTATACATCAACACAAAGCACAACAGAGTTTATGTGCCCAGTGAATGGGACTGTTAATTTCGTAAAAATGTGTAAAATTGTAATGAATTTTAAGTACACTGATATCTTACCCATTCTTTTGAGTAACAGTGCACTGACAGAACTGTCAACCCCTCCAGACATAGCACACACAACATGTCGAACTACACCCATGGCACCTATTTTAACATGCGCTCAAATACATTTAATCAGACAAGTAAAGAGAAATTAAGAGACATTTCACGCCTCTGCTATGAAGGTCGCCATAAGTAAAGTTCTTTTCAAAATATCGACCGATCGGAAACAAAAGACCAGCACTAACGAAAGCATGGTTCCGGGCATTGCTCTCGGTGGAACTCCTTAAACGGTAACACTGCAAGTCGTGTCGCGTTTAAAGTCCACAGAAATATAATAAGCAGCAGAATGGTAATTTTCCAAATTTTTTTAGATTAAATAGGCGTGACTTTATGGTCCGAAGGTTTTGAAACATTGAACGTTTTGTATAAAGGTTAATATATGCTTTAATAAATCTAACATCCCACAAATGATATCGCATAACACATTTCCATAAGCGTATACAAGCAGCCGAACTCTGTATTTATTCGATTTCAATTATGATACTTTAGCGTAACGTTACAAATACATCAAGTAGGCCTACCACAAATACCTATCAGCATGATATATATTAAAATATTAAGTATTTATTTATATAATGCTGATATTTGTTGCATAATTTAAGCACAGACTGTAAAAAAAAAAAGAATTTAAGTCCAGACTGGATTCTTATTTTTCTTCTGAGCCATCGAGCTCCCTCTGCAGTAATAAACAGATTATGCCTCATAACGATTATTGACTGGTAATGTGCCACCCAATGATTTTCATATTCATCAACGGGTCTTTCACCGTTGCTCGTGATAACCACAAGTTGCTTGCTTAATTTGGAAAAGCAGCTTTCTAAAAGCCAGCATTATAATTTTGGATTACACTTTCGGTTTTACGGTAACACTACCATCCTGAGATATTGTTTGTTAAAGCAGCAGTATAGTGCAACTAAATGCAATTCAACTGTAAACTTTCGGGCTGTTATGTAGAAGTTTTATGGTTGGGAACTTGGGATATATACCAAAATAAACTATTATTTGGCACCATTCGTTTCTGAAAATCTATATTAATGTTGTATCTAGTAGGATTTGTTTATTTCTCTGTTGTTGTTTTTTTTCTTCCCTTTTGCCACCTCATACAAGAACATATGGTAGAACAATCTAAAGCTCTCCTATGTGCAATGCATTAGCAATCAAAACTAGTTCGGTTAACAAAGTATTTATTTATATAATGCTGATATTTGTTGCATAATTTAAGCACAGACTGTAAAAAAAAAGAATTTAAGTCCAGACTGGATTCTTATTTTTCTTCTGAGCCATCGAGCTCCCTCTGCAGTAATAAACAGATTATGCCTCATAACGATTATTGACTGGTAATGTGCCACCCAATGATTTTCATATTCATCAACGGGTCTTTCACCGTTGCTCGTGATAACCACAAGTTGCTTGCTTAATTTGGAAAAGCAGCTTTCTAAAAGCCAGCATTATAATTTTGGATTACACTTTCGGTTTTACGGTAACACTACCATCCTGAGATATTGTTTGTTAAAGCAGCAGTATAGTGCAACTAAATGCAATTCAACTGTAAACTTTCGGGCTGTTATGTAGAAGTTTTATGGTTGGGAACTTGGGATATATACCAAAATAAACTATTATTTGGCACCATTCGTTTCTGAAAATCTATATTAATGTTGTATCTAGTAGGATTTGTTTATTTCTCTGTTGTTGTTTTTTTTCTTCCCTTTTGCCACCTCATACAAGAACATATGGTAGAACAATCTAAAGCTCTCCTATGTGCAATGCATTAGCAATCAAAACTAGTTCAGTTAACACATTTGTTAATGAAAACAACAAGACACAATAATTCTTTTTAAATGATAAATTAATTAATGTTATAAAACGGATAGTCCCGGTCCTTGATTCTGATTGGCTGAGCCAAGTTCGAAGCTGTTGTAAATTACTCTACAAACACACACCTTTGTGGAACTTTGTTGCAACCACAACCGTTTCTGAGGAACTACATTGTTTTGGTGGAAGAATAATGTTTTTATTCATATCATTACACTTTATTCGCTCGGTTTCATTTTGTGAAACCGTACTACGTATATGGAATAACCGTGTTATAAAAGCAATAATCCCCGTGAAGCCGTGGTTTACAGTGAATTTATAACAGCTAAGGGGGGGCTGTTATAAAATCAGTCAAATTCTCGGGGCTTATTGCTTAAATAAAATATTAAAATAATTATCAAAGAAATCTAACTATAAATATATTTAATCACAACTACTTTTACGAATTTTAAATTTATACGTATCCAAATTTTTTTTTTTTTAAGCTATACATCTAACAAAGTTTCACTGCTCGAGCAAGAACAATGGGAGATGTCTCAGCAGACAGCATTACTATCGAGATGCTCAGAGAGGCATGTGGGACTGTCAGATGCAGTCCGCTGGATGTGATCAACACACCGATGATCCCATGGTCCCAAACCACCCTTCCACTCAACAACCCCTGCAACATTCACATCAAACTGGAAAACATGCAGAGGACCGGTCAGTTTGTGCTAATTCTGTTTGCTCAGGTTATGCAGTGTAGCGATGTGTAAGCATATCATGTTTCGTTTTCTTTGCCTCTGCCACCAGGTTCATTTAAGATAAGAGGTGTTGCAAACCAGTTTGCCCGGATACTTAAAGGGGGCCATTTTGTGACCATGTCTGCTGGGAATTATGGAAAGTCTTTTGCATATGCATGTAGGCATTATGGATCCAAAGGCAAAGTGGTGATGCCAGAAACCGCCCCCATCTCCAGATCTGTTCTGATACAAGTATGACACTCTCATGCTGACACGGTTACACTTTTGTCATAATTGAATGTTTGAACAAAATGTGCCAACCATTTGTAGAGTTTGGGAGTTGAGGTTGAAAGAGCGCCAACTCCTCGTCTCATGGATGTTGTTAACCGAAGTGTTCAAGAGGACAGCATGACTTTCCTACATTCCTATGATGATCCGGATCTTATCGCTGGACATGCCAGGTTAAGTACATGTCTGGGATAGATCACCCAAAGCAAGGAAATCCTGTCATTATTTACTCACCCTCATGTCGTTCCAATCATGCATGACTTTTCTTTAGTTGAACACAACAGAAGATATTTTGAAGAATGCTCACATGATTTTGCTCATATAATGAAAGTGAATTGTGACTGTTAAGCTCCTAAAAGAACATAAAGCACTTTAAAGGCATCATAAATGTAGTACATACAGCTTTGAATAACATTATAGTTGAATAAGAACACGCTCTCCAAAAAAGGTACAGCATGTGTCACTAGGGGAGTAGTCTTTCAAAAGATACACTTTTGCACCATATTTACCCCTAAAGCATGTATATTATTACCTTAAAGGTACATAGAAGTATCTCTTTTCTTTCTTTTTTTTTTGGCTGAGAGTGCATGATAAATGTAACTTATGCATCAGTAATGGAATGCATTATAATTGGTTCACTCATCCCAGTGTCTTTTGGAATGGTAGCTTAGGTTTTGAGATCCTGGAAGTTGTACCCTATCCAGATGTTGTGGTTGTTTGCTGTGGTGGAGGAGGGTCACTTGCTGGTGTGGCAGCTGCCATCAAACTGTCTGGTTGTGAGAACACAAAGATCTATGGAGTGGAACCAGAAGGAGGTGAATATTCAAATTCTTTTTTTACAGTAAGGTCTCATTTGCTACATTAGTTGTCAATGAGCAATACATTTCTTACAACATTCATTAATCGTTAGTTAATAAAAATGCAATTGTTCATTGTTTATTCATGTTAGTTAAAAGATACAACTTTGAAAGTAAAAAACTAACAGCATTTAGTAATCTTAGTTAATGTAAACTAATGTAGTTAACCAATAAATGGATCTCTCTTGTAAAGTGTTACTGAAAAGGTTAACGACGAACCTTCAAGCAATCATATTAAGGGGATTAAGAAGAGCATAATTAAACTTTCATTACACTTCACTGTGTCTTGTGATTTGTGCCAGGAACAAAATACATAATGGAAGATAATGAGTTTGACAAAGCTGATATAATTGCACCATAAAAGATGGTAGCTAAAATGTACTTTTATAAAACAGATAGTTCCAGTCCTTGATTCTGATTGGTTGAGCCGCGTTCAAAGCTGTTGTAAATTACTCTACAAACATACACCTTTGTTTACTTCTGTGTGTTGCCATTTTGTTGGAACCACAACCGTTTCTGAGGAACTACATTGTTTTGGTGGAAGAATACTGTTTTTATTAATATCATTACACTTTATTTGCTCTGTTGTATTCTGTGAAACTTTACTACGTATATGGAATAACCGTTTTATAAAAGCAATAAGCCCCGTGAAGCCGTGGTTTACAGTGAATTTATAAGAGCTAAGGGGGTTTTAGACACTCCGCTTCACGTCGTGCCTAACAACGCCCCTTAGCTGTTATAAATTCACTGTAAACCACGGCTTCTTGGGGCTTATTGCTTTATTATAAAACGGAGGGTTCCGGTCCTTGATTCTGATTGGTTGATCCAAGTTCGAAGCTGTTGTAAATTACTCTACAAACACACACCTTTGTTTACATTTGTGTGTGTGTTTACATTTGTGTGATGCAACCACTTTGTTGGAACCACAACCGTTTCTGAGGAACTACATTGTTTGGCGGAAGAATAATGTTTTTATTAATATCATTACACTTGCTGTTTTATTTTGTGAAACCTTACTAAGTATATGGAATAACCGTTTTATAAGCAATAAGCCCCGTGAAGCTTCGCGTCGTGCCTAACAACGCCCCTTAGCTGTTATAAATTCACTGTAAACCACGGTTTCTTGGGGCTTATTGCTTTAGTTTGAACCATGCGGTTATTTTGTACGGTGTCACTCCCTTAATTATGATGTCAGATCAAATCATAATATGTAAGATGGAATTTCACAGCATGACAGTGTTGAACAGAAAGTGCAGACAAATCATTGTAGAATTTTTTATATATATATATAGACTGTGAACGCATATTTTAACTTGGCCTCATGTTGTTCCAAACCCATAAGACTTTAATTCATCATAAAAACACAAATGAAGATATATTCTCTGATCATTTTTGTGCATCCATCAAAAGTCTAGGTAATCAACGTGGACTAACTCATTAATGGTGAAGAATGAGTAATTGATTTTCTGACAGAAAGTAAATATTTAAAAAATAAAAATAAAACTAAGGCTAAGTTCAGTATCCCATTAATTAAATGACTAGTAAGTGAATGACACTTTTGTTTCTCTGACATGTTCACATAAACCCTCTTGACTTTCAACAGCATGCACAATGTACAAGAGCTTCATTGAGAAGAAGCCTGTTGGTATGGATGCTAAAAGCATTGCTTCAGGGCTAGCGCCACCATTTGCAGGTATGAATTCTACTTTGAATAAAACTTTATGGAAGCGTTCATTATAACTTGACATTATTTGGGCTTTTTGAAACTTGTATATTGGGATTCACCCTCAGGTTCTTTGCCATATGAGCTGTGTCAGAAGTATGTGGAGAACATTGTGCTGGTGACCGATGAGGAGATCAAATCTGCAGTTGCCATACTTTATAGAGCTGGACTCGTGGTTGAACCTTCAGGCACTGCGGCTTTCGCTGCCGTCACGAATGACAAAATCCCAGATATCAATGGCAAGAATGTGGTGGTCATCCTCAGCGGTGGAAACATTGGCAAAGATGAGCTTAGCAACTTTCCTGACTAAGTCAAAGGCTTATTTAGATAATAATCACATTAATAATGTTTCTAAAGCATATATGGGCTGTGAAGTTCCATAAAAATCATTGTATGGAAAAGAGTAGCATAAATGATGGCAGATTCATGTTTGCGATAACAACTACATTTTGCCAAGTCGTTTATGGGTTTATATCTAGTTAGTCATAATCTCTTGTTTTTATGATGAATTGCATTCATATTTTAAGTGCAAAACACTAAAATGATAATGTATCCTTTTTAGAAGTGAAAATACTGTGAATAAATAAAGTGACGAAACATCTCCACAACCCTGCTGCGTTATATGTGCAACAGAAAACGAATAGGCCTATACAGATTGTGTTGTTTGTTAGGTGACTAACATAATAGCTTACACATCATTTTATAGCTGTGCTAAACTGTACCCTACTGCAACATTTTCTTTTTAACATTCATTACATTATTCATATTGACTAGTCTTGCATATTTCTCATGCTGGAGATCTGGATGATTTTGCAACTTATTCAAACCTTCCAGAGGGAAAGTGACTTGTGTAGACGGCTATGGCTATGTTCAGACTGCAGGCGAATTGGATATTTCTGCACTATTAACTGCAAGTGATCAAATCAGGATTTGTATGTCCAAACATCACCAACTTGTCTGCATGAGTTACGGCGTAGGCGTACCCACGTTTTTGATGAGGCTTTCAAAACGGATGCAGGGGAAAAAATGAAGGTGCATCATCTCAGTCTGCAAATGAGCACCTTGTCAATCTTCAAACTCAGTGATAGAGGAGACTGGTGTATATCGTGACGTTTCGTGCTGTAGTCACAGCTGGCCTCGGCTTCGTTTTGAATACTGTACTGTACTTCCTTTGAATACTTCATTTAAATACTGGTTTTGACATTATCGTCGAGTCGCATTAAGAGTGATGCAAAAGACTATTTACATTCCAATTTGAGCACACCAGTAAAAAGCCGATTCAAATTGCATTTCCAAGCACCTCCAAATGTGTTTATTTTTTTTCTCGCTGTCCAGACGTTCAAAAACCCATCTGTATAATATCTGGATATGCAAAAAAGTCTGGACATCTCATCACATGTAATCTGATTTTGTGAACATGGACAGCTTATGACTAAACGTAAATCGGTGCTATAAAGGACATTTGTTTCTTGCTGATACACAACTGACCTATTGAGGTGCAATATAAATGTTTTTTCATTAAAACAATGAGTCCTGCTGGTATACTTTTTGGTATGAATCGACTATGATCAAGTCATTAAGCCATTTTAAGCTTTATTTATAAGAAAAGTGTCCAGGCTCTAGAAAAATTTTGTCTTATAATATATATATATTTTTTTTCTCTCAAGACAACTTTTCGATGTATCTTTTTACAAACTGACTCTAGTTGGAAACTGTATATATAAAAAAACACTGTATATTTTAAAATGGTTCACTCACATCTGCATTAAAGAATGTTAACAATGTGTCCTAAGATGCTATTTTTTTTTTTTTTCATAAAAAATGGGATATATACAATATTTTTATCAATAGGAGATCTGACAAGTAGAAATACCGTGTGGGTTTATTTAAAATAGAAACATATCAACGTATCGATTAGCTATGTGACATCTTTAGTGGCCATCCTGCAAACAACAGCGTCCAAAAGACTGCCACACTTTTCCTCCTGTGGTGCGACTTTGTAGAGCTGTAATGAGAGACACAGATGTATTTTTCAAACAAATGCAATAAACGAGGAACCCTGTTCTACATCAGTACTGATTAAAAAGAGACATACCTTTTTAATCTTGGAAACATCAGTCAAATCAGACACTCGATCAACGCCAACCTGTTGTCCGTCCACCTTTGAGATGATGTTATCGATGCTGAGGGTCTCGTCTTTGTTGTGTACTAACACAATGTGAACCGCACTGTCACTGTCTGAGATCCCAAACCTTTTGAATGCTTCAGATATCTGCCAAACACTGAACTTTGTTAAAACGGCACACTGCAAACAAATAAAGATTTCGGCTGTGCTCCTGTACTGAAATATATCACTCACATTGTTTGTGGGTGAAAGATTAAAAATGATTTCCGAGTAAAGGCTCCGGGTTTTCATTTTCCCATTTTTATGTAGGTGAACTGCTTTATTTGCTGCCACCAAGATCTGGAATGCATCCACAACCTTTAAAGGGAAAATGAAACAATTCAGCTTTGCCAACACAGGAATAAATTCTATTTTAAAATATATTCAAATAGAAAAATAGGTATTTTAAATTGCATTAATGCTTCAATCACAATATTACCGTTTTTTATGGTAATATCATATAAATGCAGCCTTGGTGAGCATTAGAGACTTCTTTCAAAAACATTTAAAAACTAAGTTTTGACAGGTAAGTTAGTGTGTGTATATATTTGCATGTTCAAAAACGGTATAGCCATGGCACCATCCAAAGCAGGGTATTACCATGGTACTTTTTACTAGGCATGTTGAATTTCTGTATATATAGTATATAGCCATAAATGAGTTTGTACATGATTTGATAAGTGTTCTCTTACCATTGATGGATTGATCAAGGCGCCTTTTATTTCTCCATTCACTGCCATTTTTCTCAACTCCGTCGCATTTTTTACATCTTTGAAGAGCAGTTGAATCACCGTGTATTCAGGAAACAGTTCTAAGTCTTGCGTAAGATGCATTATTAATACTTTAGTATTCAGTAAAACATGAACGTTATCTAGACAGCATGCGGTACCCAGTGTTGGCCACACACGGAACAATAATAATGTGACACCGTCATTTGCTGATGGGAATGTTCCGATTTGGCCAGTTTCAGTCGATGCAATTGTGTAGGTGATATTAACTGTATTACAAAGCCCTAAATTAAATAATATACAGCCAGGTTTTAGTTTATAAAGTATATGAAAACTACAGAAACAAAACACTCGGGCAGTGGTTAGTATGCGACAGTTGTCTGAAATGGGCGGGGCCTATCGGCTCAGAAGTCGTTTCTAATTGGTCGACTAGCTATGATCGACATATATAATAATCCTTGTTTTTTAAACTCTTTTTTTTGGTGTATTTTTAATTCAGTGTCATGTTTTTTCGGGGGCTCTACACAGATGACAAATTTAGTCAATTCATATACTTGTAAAGTCGAAAGGAGATTGCATGGGCACATCGCTTCTGTTACTTTCTGTTATTTATTGTCTTCTTACTAGAGAAGAAATCATTGTGATTTTTTTAAATGAAGAATTTAAGAAGGAACATATCATAGTATAGGTGATGTACATATTTACTTACAAGAGATTTATTAGTATTTTAATAGTCTGTGACACCATCGGGATGGAACTGATTGTTCACGCTTCCGGTTTAGACACGGACGCTAGTATGTGACGCACCAGTAAGCTGTCAAAACCCTAAACTTAAAAATGCGGCTTTTGTATATATGTGCACATTTTTGACAATCTGAAGAAAGATCGATTACAAGGAATGAATGCTTCGCATACTGTCTTACTCATCCTCGTATATCATTCGTTTCCATACGTGTATCATCAAAGATCGAGTGTTTTTGTGTTTGTTTGAATAAGGATGGAGAGGTTTGAGGTTTATGTCTTCACTGCTCTGTGCAGCATTAACTTTCTCATATCCTGCCTCCTGTTCTCCAAAATCACACGGGAGCAGAGAGATCCTTACATGGATGAGATATTCCATGTTCCTCAAGCCCAGAAGTACTGTGAGGGGAAGTTTCATGAGGTATGATTGTTAATGGTGCTTGAGTTTCTCAGTGTGTTTGTGTTTTTGGACATGGATGCTCATGTGCCCCTCTCCACAGTGGGATCCGATGATCACCACTCTTCCCGGGTTGTATCTGGCTTCAGTGGGTCTGATCAGGCCTGTGGTGTGGCTGGCGGATCTGAAGGGCAGTGTGGTCTGCTCTACTGCCATGCTGAGATTCATCAGCCTGCTCTTTAACAGTGGGAATCTCTACATAATCTATCTGATCATCTGCAGACTGCACATGAAAGATAAGGTGTCTGATTGGTTTTTTTCTTTAAGTTTATTTGGGGATTTTTCCATTACGGTCACATCATTGAATTGCCTTTTTAGAAAATATTGAAAAATACCCTGAATAATCTGGCTGTGGCCTTGATCAAAGTGTAAAATGTGTAGTTTTCATATTGTTTGTAATGTTAATGACGTTGTATAACAATATGTAATGCTTTTTTTTTTTTTTTAAAGGTTGGTATCATGGTAATAACAGCCGATTTGACTACATTTCTAATTAAAAAGTCAAATTTCCTTGATTTTAAAGCTCTTCATAATAATAATAATTTATTATTGAGGGGATGCATGGCTAGGAGGCAAGCCAAAAACAAAGAAAGACTGACAATTTTATTATTATTTAATCTTTTTATCACACTAGTAGGCATGGAACAAATTGTTTGTAAATATAATATAGAAAAAAATGTGTATGTGTATATATATATATTACACACACATTTTTTTGTACTTTGTATGTATATACTTGTAGTAAATATGTCCCCCAATTTTCTGACGCAGCTGTGACTGTTATTTACACATTTAAAACTCATAATTGTTGGGTGTTGCTGGTTGCTAAGATGTGAAGTTATGTAAAAAAATTAATGATAAACCATAACCAGTTGTTACAGGTAATTATAAGCATATATAAGCATCATAATTTATTATATATTAATTACTAAGAGGGTAAGCAACAAAATAAATAAATACCATTTGACACTAATATTATATTATATAACAATATTGTAATATTATGATTTATCCCTTAAAAATATTATATATATATATATATATATATATATGTATGTATAATTACCATACAGGACAGAATTTTCAGTAAATATAATAGGAATTTCATAGTAAATACACAGTAACCAAATGTAGTCATTAACCGTAGAAGCTGTGACTGGTGCTTGCACATGTGTTATGTGGTTGCTAAGATATGAATGGTTTTTCAGCATTGTGTTGGGTTGCAGTCTATCTTATTTTTAGCCTTTTTTTGAATTGTCCACCAGGTGAAAAATGTAAATCCGATAGCTTAGAAAATGTAGAGCTTCAACAAAGGCACCTGGCAACCACCCAAAACAACTTAGCAATTGTATAGCCTTGTATTTAAGTTGAGTGACGCCTTCAGATCAGCTCTAAAGTGTAATACTAAGGTGTTCTATTCCACTCTCTCTCTCTCTAGTCCCGTTCTTCCTCTCGTCGAATGTTCTCTGCCCTGGCTCTGTCCACGTTTCCAGTGCTGTACTTCTTCACG